GCAGAGCTGACTTTCTGGGCTGTAAGCACACACTGCTGGGTAATGTCCAATCTTTCAAACAGCAGGATGCCCAAGTTCTTCTCCACAGGGCTACTCTCAACCCCTTAATCCCCTGGTCTGTCTTGACACTGGCCATTGATCTGACACAGGTGCAGGACCTTGCACTTGGCCTTGTTGAACCTCGTGAGGCTCACATGAAATTATTAATTAAAAAAAACAAACCCAAAGCCCTGGTTCTTAATGTATTTGTAAAAGCTCTTAAAAAAGCCAAAAATCAATCTACTTCTCAAGTAAAGCATAAACTGTCTGCAGATCACTATCAAGGAACACAGTAGCTAACAGAAAAAAAAAAAAAATTCTGCCAGTTTCAGTTAGGTTTATATATGCATTACCTGTAGACAAAGCTACAACACAATTTTCCACACAGAGATATTTTTAGGACCTAACTGTGTTTTTGATTTTGAAAGGTTGTACTAACTATCAAATGATAAAACCAGAATAAATCCTCCTCAAAACTGCTTCTCTCAATATTAAAATATTTTTCCAACTGACTTCTACCATAATCTGAATTATTTTCTTTACAAAATGGTGGTAATGAGAGGTAAAAATAAAACAAACAATAGGTATGTTCAAATCCTCTGAATCAGGTAGCTGCAGCTTCTCTCCTATATTCCTACAGACTGTTTTGGAAACCAAACATAAATTATGAACAAATGCATTCCTCATATGCAAATCAAATACTGGAAAATATACCCATAAATGCTTATTGAACCAACTGAAATTATCACATCTCCATCTTTATCTTCTCTTTCTAATTAACAGAAAAAATGGAACTATCTAAACAATGCCATATGGTAAAAATGAAAAGTGAGAAACTATTCGTCAACCTCATGTTAATTAAATGGAGATGAAAACATTAAATTCTTCTATATATATTCAACCACTCCTTTTATTACTTTTAATAACATCTTTTCATGCAGCTTTTTTCTTTTCTCATTTAAGCCCACTCATTTCTGCTCTTTAAACAGAACAAAGAAAGAGCAAAGAACATGTGATATCTTGATGCTTGAGGAGATGAAAATGTGGATCAAATAATCACTCACATGCATTAAGCATTGTAACTCTGATGAATTTTCACTTTAGATTTCTAACTACTGAAACACCATAGCACACAGGAAAATAGAAAAGAGCGAGCAGATTAGGTGTTGCACTGATGTCAGTACTGAAAGGCTAAGTTAATATATAACTCAAATAACAATTTCAGAAAGCTAGTACAGATTTAGATAGAATTTCAGAATATAAAGGCTAAGTACAGCTAGTATATATAGGTACACTATAGTATGCTATATAGGCATATAGGTAAGATTTAGGTAGAATTTTAAAATATAGAGGCTAAGTTTAGCTAATATACTTAGTATATATAGTATATATTAGTACAGTGTATAGTATATATAGTATATACTAGTGTAGAGGCTACAACTAAGAAGTGACATTAAAAATAACTTTCTTAGACTGATAAGCAGCCTTTATTTTCACATTAACAAGTCAAATTACAGCCACCTAAACTACTAAAAAACATATGAGGATTCTGAAAACAATCTGCAAAAGAAACAGAATACTACAGAAAAGCAACAGCATGAAGCAAAACAATTGTTTTGCTGTAACCTACATAATAGAAACTATTTCTAATTACATATTACTCATCTTTCTTAACATTAATCAAAGTAACCAAAGCCTATGAACTTTAAACAAAATAAAAAACATTCCACTGCTTAGTCCATCTTTACCTGAGAGCCACTTTCAGCTAATGAAGTTTCTGAAGTTTATTGTTCTTTCAAAAAACAACTATTATTTTAACATGTTAAATCTTCCTACTATAAACTGTTTTTTTTCCATTCTAATCTACCTGTTCTCAACATTAAATGTACCCATTACTGATTTGTCTTACCTGACCTAAAAAGGAGGAAACAAGGCCTCCCAGATTCCTTGTATAGATCACGCAGTCACACAGCTGTACCTTTGGTGCCTGGGTAAGAAGGGGCTGAATCTCCAGTGGGGTTCTGAGTTCTGAACCCCTTGAGCTTGCTTATACAGCATGAAACAGTTTGATTTTTCCCTGCTAGCCTGTCATTCCCTTGTCTTGTGTATCTGCAGCACAGAACCAAGAGCGTTGTTCCTACCACTGGGCAACAGGTTAAAAATACCCGGCAAGCAACAGATGCTTGGTGCTCCTGTGGCAGACAGCATTTCTAGACAAATGCATCTCCAGCCACCCCTTCTCTGGAAGCCAAGAAATCATGGATAAATGCTCAGACACCTCAAACGGGGGAATAGACCTAGAAAAATGTGCATGCTAAACCCACTGAAGTGCAGTTTAGCCTTTGGTAAAATTCAGTTTAAAAATTCAAGAGTGACTGTTTTTTGTTTGGTAAGCATTTGCCAATTAACCTATATTAGCAATTCAAAAAAGCTCTCACTCAGAAGTCCCTCAAAAATTTCTGCTAAAATTAATAATTTTAGCAGAAATTTTTGGTTGCTGTCCTGATTCAGAAATTTTCATTATATTTACCTATCAAATTCAGAAGAAATAGCTCATAAATATAATAAACATATATTATGGCCAACCACATAAAACTGGAAACAATCCTGAATACCCCAGAAAGTAAGACTGACAAAATAATACTGGAAATGCATATTTTGATTTATCAACCTGTGAGTTTCATAAAAGTAAGCCATTTTCCTGAAGGCACTCTTTGCTTGATCGGTTGCACTTCAAAATTGTATCTTTCTTCAGGATAGGTCTACTAAAAATTTTGTTTCTCCCATTAAGGAAAGTGGTAGCTCTCTCTGATAAACTCATATGACAATCTGTGATAAGAATAAACAAACTTTGTGAAGATTCTGAAAGTTAAAAAGTCAACATGGTGAAAGACCTCTTTCCCTACTTGTACTACAGTATGTTTAACTCAGGTGTGTGCATTGGCAGGTCTATGGCACTAATGAAACAGATTGGACTATAGCTATGTTTCCTGACTTGAGATCTGTATGACATTTGTATTTAGCTTTCTAACTGAAAGCAATGACACAATTAAATCTTCATATGGTAAGACACTGCTACATATATCTTCTCTCTGAATCACTATTAGCTTTTTTAAACATACCTTAAGAATAGCTGGTCCTATTCACTAAAACCAAGTGCACCTTTCAGAGCTACATTGAAGCCACATTGTGATCTACAGCCATTAGAACAGTACTAATCCACACAGACATGCAGAGATACCTTCTTCCCAGAATTAAATAAAGGGGGGCGAAGAAGGGAAAGCATTTCTCAAAAAAATTTTTTTGGGGTAAAATTATTTATATTTTGCAGGCCTCGCTCTACCATTTAACAAATAAATACCTTACTCTTCCTCAGTAATTACAATTATTAACTAGGACATTAAACAATACATTTCTAACAAATTTTAGCTGTTTGGCAATTATTTTTCCCTCTAATTTTAACTTCTAAGAACACAGGAGTTCTAAACAGGCACATCTGATTTAACACTGATCTGATAGTTACAGAAATTATTAGGCATTGGAGCATTTATGTGGCTAGTGTAAATCACTAATGCTGTGACTTGCTCTGACTTTTTATGCTGTTATTTTCTCGGCAAACACAGCCAGGTTCTGAAACCCATTCTCCTATGACACAATGCTGGGACCTTAATCCTATTTTTTGCCGTGGTGCTTACAATGCTTTTCTGGGATTTCCCAAAAGGAATATTCCAGAGTTTTATATTGTGTGTTTTCGGGTATTTTTTTGTTCTTTTCAGTGCTTCTTTTATATCATGATCTCGCATAAGTTTTCAAATTAACTTGTGCTTCCAAATATTTTTCCAAATTTTGCAAACAGTATAAGATTACTATTCCATTTAAGCTTCCTTAAATTAAGTTCAACACACACACGCAAAAAAAAAAAAGGCACAAAAAATACACCTATGATAATACTGTCAGATTTTATAAATAGGTTTTAGGCTCACTGTCACTGGTAGCATGTTTTTAAAGATAAATCTAATTCTTGACCTGCACAGTTGTGATTGCAAAATTCACTGTTGATGAAAACATAACAGAATACCACTCAGGTCTCTGATAACAGCATTCACCTGAATGATGCTAAATATGAAACAGACTGATTATGTAAGTGAAGTGGCACACAGTTCACCTATAAATGTTTTATAACTTAAAGCAGAAGTTATGTTTCAACATAACAAATGCAAACTTGTTCTTCAAAATTTTTCTGTCAAGTGGATTATCATCATGCTTATGTCTCATATTTCAGCTGTATCAGTGTAGCAGGGTATGCACTGTCATGTTTTCAGAGAAAAATACGTGGAAATTAAGTACATTCACTTTGACACAAACTAAGTACAAGCAGTGCCATGGCAAAGTCAAACTGGAGAAGAAAAAACAAAAAGGCTTGGTACGAAGAGACATATAGTACCCCAAGAGCATAATGCCTGATAATTTTCAATATCTTAGAGAAAGCAGCATATGTAATTAATATTTTAATATACAGAACTCCAGTTTTTTTCCTTTTATTATCTGAGAAACCAGTACATTTTTCTGACACACACTCCAAATGTAACTTAACTTATTTGTTGGCCAGGCAAATATCTGTGAATTTCAGACAAGAAAGCCTCACAGATTGCTTTCTGCCATGATTCACTGTCACTGTACGGATGACACTTCTTATAAGGCTACTATTATTGTGAAAAATAATTATTAAAATCTTAATAGCAACAAATGATACAGATCTAATAATATAGTACTTATTTTTACCCAAATGAACACAACAGTTTTAAATCAGCCAAGCAATTATTATTCCTACTAGAAATAGTCCATTTTTTGTTTCAATTGCAGGCACCACCCTTGTTGATAATATGCATCATATATACTGAAACAGACAGCATTTTTAATTATGAAAATTATAATAGTATGGGGAAAAAAATCTTTCTTACCTATGTATACAATTTTTAGATTCAAGATATGCCATACCAGAAGCAGCATCCAATGAAAATTTCACCAACTGTTTGGTTTTTAGATCATCCTTCTTTTTTCTCAAAAAGGACAAGAAATCACCTCCTAGCAAAACAGAGAGATAGACAGTGAGACACAACAGATAGTGCACTGGCATTTACTTCTCTTAGGGGTGCAAAACCAAACTAAATGCAGCTTATTTTCTTAACCCATCAGTTTGAGGTTAGCCTAAGAACAAGGAACTTACCTTCCAAAATGCAGTTTCCCTAACTTCCCTTAAATACTAAGTGCTTAAAGTGAAAACTGCACAGGACGTTTCTAATATACCCAAAATCCTCACCAGTGTACATTAAATACAGACATATATGAAAAATTGTTGACAAAACCTAATTTGTGATAAATATAACTAATCACAGAATGGTTGCTGCAGGGGTTTACAGAAATTCTGAATAAAGAGTTTAGGTCCTACTAGATAGGTGAGTGTAATTTTTAGTTGATCATTTGCATGGGTGTATCTCAAATTCTACACTGATGTGTTTGGAGGGGTAACAAATTTACTTCTCAGGCAGTGTTAACTGCATATTTGACACTGCCAACTGAAGGCAAACAATGGTTGCTGTGACTTCACAGTCTTCTGCCTGGGAGGAACAAAACTGCTGTCCTCTTGTCTGAAGAGGAAATGGGTCAGTATGGAGGATTTCAAAAAAGGCATTTATGTTTGCAAAAAAAAGTTTCTGAAACTAAATTAGGACAAAGATAAGCAGGAGAGACATTGTATGTCTGTATATATTATATGGAGACATTATATGGACCGCAATGCCATTTTCTGATTGATATTAACTGTGTTTTTTCTAAAATATAATTTATTGTTCCAGACAAAGACAAAAAATTCTAACGGAGCTTTCCACATCACATTATTCATTTACTAGAATGTAGCCAGCCATTGTTCCAGTCTTCGTTACTCTTCACTTTGCACTGAATTGACCATAGTGATTCTCTTTTGCAAATTCTGCACTCTCACACAATTCTATTTGCTGCCTTCTTATCAATGTGAAAAGACATTATTAAAAGCTTCATATGGGATTTTCTTAGAAGGCCATTCCTATTTATATTTCAAAAATATAAAAATGCAAAAAATAAGAGAATATTAAAAGTTTGCTATTATGAAGTATAACTGTAATGCCCACTTAATATTAAGTTGGAGTAATTGTAAAATGGATTAGCACCTTAACTGTCAACAGCTCTGTTTATTCTTTTTGCCTGGATTTAGGTATCTTTTAGTACAAATGATCTTGGTAGGCTTTATAGGCTCTCCCTTAATGAAACTCCCAGAAAATTAACACCTAACAAACTACAGATAACCAGTTTCCATTTTGATTTTTTTTTTTGGTAAACATGGTGATATTACAGGAAAGTCAGAAAATACTCTGTTTTCACAGAACAGTATAGTTGAGGCTGGCAGTGATCCTCTAGAGGTCACCTGGTTCAACAGTTTGCTCAAGCAGGGCTCCCTAGAGCTGGGTGCCCAGGACTATTCCCAGATGGCTTTTGAATATCTCCATGCATGGAGATGCCAGAACCTCTCTGTGCCAGTGCTCAGTCACCATCACAGGGAAGTATTGCCTGATGTTCAGGAGGAACCTCCTATATTTCAGTGTGTGCCTATTTTCTCTCCTCCTGTTACAGGGCATGACTGAAAAAAGCCTGGCTCTGTCCTTCTTGCACCCTCCCTGCAGGTATTTATATACATTGATGAGACCTCGTGACCCTTCTCTTCTCCAGGCTGAACAGTCCCAGCTCGCTCAGTCCTTTCTCCTAGAAGAGCTGCTCCAGTCCCTTCATCATCTTGGTGACCCTTTGCTGCAACTGTCTCCAATGTGTCCATGTCTGTCTTGTACTGGGGAGCCCAGAACTGGACCCGGTATTCCAGATGTGGTTGCACCACTGCTGAGTAAAGGGGAAAGATCATCTTCCTTGATCTGCTAACAACACCCCTCCTAATGCAGCCCATAACACAGGATACCATTCACCTTTCCCACAAGGGCACATTGCTGGCCTGTGTTCAACCCTTAGCGTCCACCAGGACCTTCAGGTCTCTTTCTGCCAAGCTGCTTCCCAGCTGGCAGCCCCCAAGCATGTTCTGGTGCCTGAGGCTGTTCCTACCCCTGAGCTGCCGGACTTTGCGCTTCCCCTTGTTGAACTGCATGAGGTTCCTGTGAGCCCCTTTCTCCAGCCTGTCCAGGTCCCTCTGAATGAAAGCACAACCCTCTGGTGTATCAGCCCCTCCTCCCAGTTCAGTGTCATCTGCAGACTTGCTGACAGTGCACTCTGCCTATTACCCAGACCATTAATGAAAATGCTGAACAGGCCTGGCCACAGTATTGACCCCGGGAGTACACTGCTCTTTAATGACCGCCAATTTCTTTAATACCTTGATTCCAGTTAAACAGGTGAAAAAGTTTACCTGATACATTCTTTCTTCAGTGACAGATTTCCAGACATTTTTGAAAAGCAGTGCACATAACAGTTTCTTTAAGGCATATATAGTCTATTTTTCCATTTGTAAGAGTAACAAAGAGTTTGTATAAACCACATAATCCAATACTATGGATCATCTAGGTATTTAACTACCAGACTGCAAGAATACATTTTTCAAGTACAAGGATGAAAGCAAAGGTGAGCAATCTTTTTTATTCACAATGCTAGGAATTGTCCATTTTGGGCCAGCCAGAACCCCTTAGGAGCTACTAAAGATTTTTAAGATATTAAAAGTTAACCATATGCATTAAAAATTTAGAAATAATACATGCTATAAATTTGTTTCTAATTTTCTCAATCAAATTACGATCCTAATCTTCATCAGTTTGTTTCCAAACAGATCAAAAGCTGCTCAGTTCCTTACATTAGAATAAGCCAAACTCACAAAAGCAGAAACCCATAACTTCCGAGTGCAAGCCTATCATCAGGAAGTGATTTAGACTTGCTAATTTTCAGTGTTTGTACTGTATTGAACTTTCAGAGTTCTGAGCAGAACCAGCACAATAGACTTTGAGCTGTATACAGTGTATTTTATGCCTATCATCAAAACACAGTTAAATAAAATTATCCTAATCTGCCTCAGTCTCAATAGTGAAAAAAGTCAGCAAAAGAATGTTTTCAATAGCAGTTCTGTTTTCTTCTATCTATCCTGGCACACAGATGACAAAAATGTCTTTTAAATACTCTGTTCAGTACTGATTTGAAAGCACCGTCTGTTGCAGACAAAAGAACACAGCAATGCACTTGTATAAGAGACATCATTTTAGGTTAAATCTGATCCTCAAATCAATCATCCTCAAAATCCTCATCATTGTGATATGAACATAGTCTTAAGTCTGTCCTTTAACTAACAGAATTTTTCTTACTAGTAGATTTTTACTTTCACTGTCTACTGTGGCCAATGTTCCAGTTACTCATCTTCATAGAAAAGCATGCACATGAATACCTTCACTGATGAGTTAAGAGGATTTCACTACAAACCCTTCAGTGTAGAACTGTGGCTATGTAATGTCTTTATGTGCTTCTTAAAACATGTTTAAATATAAAAAGTCCTAATTCACTATTTGCAGCACATAAGAGCACCATCTCCAATATAGCAGCCATTGATAAAAAGATTAAATAAACAGACCAATTAGACTATGAAACAACTGAAACTAAACTAGTTTACTACATACTAGTACTTTCTCTTATACATGGAATTTCTATTGTATTCTACATGGCTACGCGTTATTACAGTTAATGGCATTCAACACTTACCAGGAAATAAGGTTTGCTCCAGCCACTCTTAAGTACGACAGAAATAATTAGGCCAGTACAGTATTATCACCAAACAGAAACTGACTGCCTGTTTGGGGTTTACAGGAGGATAAATAACAGTAGAGGAGTGTCTGCCTAATACGATAGATTTATTTTACTAAGTAGATGACAAAATGCAGTAGCTAAGCACAAGCTCCATGAGAGCAGACTCTAGTAACTGGATTCCTGAAAACACCCCTTCATGTATTACACTGTGAATGTGAACTATTTCTCATTATATACAGAATTTTTAAGCGTAACAATACCACATACCAGCATCTCCTAGTGTTTTCCATAGTTTATAGCGTAAACTTTATGCTGTATGTTAAAGAGTATTTTATGGCAATATAACAGTTCCATTAATGGTGCACACAAAAGTAAGCTGACATTTTGCAGGAGAAGAAAAAACTACCGGTGATCTATGAGAATACATCAAAATACAAGAAACGCCAATGAAATAATTTCTGACTTCAATGGCATTTATGATCAGCTGTGAGCATGAAATTCAGTGCTCTCTTGAGCTGGCGCCCAAAATTGTTCTACACAGTCTTGGTATTCTGAATGCCAAGAGTGCCAATATCCACAATGAACATAATTAAAAAATAGCTTTGAAATTATGGTGTGAAATCTCCCACTTACTGATTTCTAGATATATAGACATACAATATATAATTGTATCTCTATGTGGCATCACACAATTTAAATAAAGTTATGAATAATAATTATACAAATATGAATGTGTTAACAGCAAAGAGTGATATGGAATGATAAATTATTATTTACATATAAGTTTTAATAAAGTGGGAGAATTTCCTTTATTAAACAACCTTGTTAAGTAGCACCTTGTTTAAAGCACCTTTAAACCTTGTTTAAAGAATCCAGTTAATTCTTCTTAAATTTATATATGTATTAATCATGAAGATGCAGCATGCTTCTTGGCCACATCACTTAATGGTCACCTAACAAAGAGGAGCTACACGATTCAGTATCTGCAATTCTTTTATAAGCTATTATAATATTATTGAAATTACCTTTATCTGCCCCTGTGAGCTTTTATAAATTTGGGGATTCATGCGGTGAGTCTTCTGACTAATGTTATGAAATTTAGCATTTCTCTATTGTCCAGTACCTTAATCCCATACACATTATCAACAAAATAAACCCAAACACAGTTACTTAATACTATGAATTTAAAATAGCAAACATGCATCTGTAGCAACTATAGAAGATATTTTTTTAAAAAAGTAAGCTATATGACAAACTATTAAAAA